TATGTATTGACCTAGGCTACTATGGCTAATGACAGGTACGCTTTCACCATTAAAGGCTTTTTCTATGAATGGAATGACCTGTACGAAACACGAGCTCCTGTAGACCAAACCCAGTACCGTTACGATTTTAATCGTACGGGAAATATCCTCAAAATGGGAAAAACCCACGTTTGTTTTCAACAAAGATCTTATAAACACAAAGCAAAGATCTTATAAACACAAGATAGCGTTCTCCGCGATTTACGCGTAACAAATAGAAGCGTCGGTCAAGGTTCAAAAGTTTCCAATTTAGCAAGAGGGCGTCATTCATGCGCTATTATAGCAAAGAGAAAAAGTAATCAGTTTTGGAAGAGGGCGTCCTATCTGTTGCCATGGATTTGAGATGGTTCCTGTTCTGCTGTTCACAGTAAGGTATGGTCATAGCGGTCAAAGGTCAAAAGTTTCCTTTTTAGCAAGAGGGCGCCATTCATGCCTTATTACAGAATTTGCACGCGTAAATCGCGGAGAACGCTATCTTGTGTTTATAAGATCTTTGACACAAAGTAATAAGTTTTTGAAGAGGGCGTCCTATCTGTTGCCATGGATCTGAGATGGTTCCTGTTCTGCTGTTCACAGGCGGTGTACTGTATGGTCAGATCAGAGCGGTCAAGGGTCAAAAGTTTCCAATTTAGCAAGAGGGCGCCATTCATGCCTTATTACAGAATTTGCACGCGTAAATCGCGGAGAACGCTATCTTGTGTTTATAAGATCTTTGTTGAAAACAAACGTGGGTTTTTCCCATTTTTTCCAGACACAGTACGGTACTAGGCCTATGTACTTGTTTTGTCGTTGAGCGTGCAAGAATTCTTTTTAGAAGTCATGATTACTGATGCTGAAAAGACGGAATTAAGACACTTGCTTAATTTTTTATCTACTGATGAAATAGTGTCACTTAAAGACACCGTTACAAATAAACTTTTGGAAACAACGTCAAAGGAAGGTAGGCCTATTTTCGCCTAGGCTAGGCTCAGCTCTTCTTTATTATCTCGAGCAGCGGAGATATCACCTCGCTACACACTGCATATGGCACTATATGATCTAAAAAGCTTAATTCCTCATCTCCGTCACAGTCATCTCCATCACAATTTTACTGTGATGGAGATGACTTCTTGATGTTTTCTTTCCTCAAAAACGAATATAAAATAAAAATGATAATTGATCTGGTTTATGTTGTTAGAAACCTTTTTGCTCAATGTTTATTATCCTATATTTAAATAATACAATCTATCTTTTAAATTTACTAGGATTCACATTTATGAGTATCAGTATATCATCATCTTCGTCACAAAAAGTGATTGAGATGATTTCTTGATGTTTTCTTTTCTCAAAAACGGCTATAAAATAAAAATGATAATTGATATGACTAATACGTTGTTTGAAACCTGTTTGTTCATTGTGTATTATCCTATATTTAAATAATACAATTTATCTTTCAAATTTACTAAGATTCACATCTATATTTATATCATCATCTCCGTCACAAAAAAGTGTGATGGAGATGATTCCTGAAATATTTGCTGTGTTACAGAACTGAAAATTGAATGCTTAAATAAACGTTTAAAATGCCCTAATTATTGTGCCGAATGTTTATTATAGTTGTTATATGGCATAATGGTGACATGTGTAATAAAAGAATTACAAATGTGAAACTTTTTTTTTCATGATTTCTAAACCTCTAAAATGGCACATTAGCGAAGAATTACCCTAAATCGTTCTTGGCATGGATATGGACATGCATCAAAGATACTAAAACACAAGATATGAGGGTAGAAGAAAAATGAGGGTAGTTGCTATACAACGTGTTCAGCCGAAGGGCGTGGCTTTGTATGTTAACGTCATGCATAATTTCATCTATAGTTGTCTTTTAGTTATCGTTCGCCCTCGACATATAGTAGGCCCTGTCAGCAAAACACGGGAACTTCATTGTACAACCAATGTAAGAAAAAATAAGTTATCCCTGTGTAATTTTCTTTCTAAAATTAGGATCCCTGGAACATTATCAATTTATGGGGTCTACAAAAGACCTGCCAACCGCTAGGCCATGAAAATCTGGAGATTTTTTTTAAAATTTAAAAAAAATCTGGAGATTTTCCAAAAAATCTGGAGGTTTCCAGAATTATCCAAAAAAATGATGCAATTTACTAAAAAAGACATGTCAAGACAAATCATAGAAGTATAAAATAAATAGCACAAAATTACTGCAAAACAACTTATTAAATTGCTGCTTGTCTATCGCAGCAAATACATTGAATAATAACGATCTAATCAATCATTTATGTATAAATCAAAGTCTTTTCACGAGGGAACCTGTAAAATCAGTGAAATCGGGGGAAAATTACATTCGATCGGGAGAACTGGAGATTTGTTTAGATATCGGGCGACACCCGACAGGATGGGGTGAGTTGGCATGTCTGTCTACACAGAGGGAAATAATACATAGGCCTAGTTAGTCTTATTTTAGCGGTAGGGAGCCGTAATCACAGAAAGAAATGAAAACAATTCAATGGCCTATACTGCTAGTACTACAATACTGTTCTTAGTCTGTGGATTTTCCAACCAAATCCCATGAACAAATTGTCTTACTGGAAGAGAAAATGGGCCTAATAAATAAAAATTACAACTTCTATTACAACATAACTGTTGAAGTTAAGATTTATTACTTTTTAATGTTTCACAAAATTGCCGGCTATATTACAAAAAAAGAGAAGGAGAACAGAATGTTAAATATTTAATTAAAACATATTAACTTTCCAATGTCTGTATTGCAATTTGTATTGTATAAAGTAATGTATTAAATAACAATTAGGCCTATTCTTTAGTAGCCTAGGGGCACATTCTGCATAGGCCTAAAAGCCTAGACATTGGCTGCTCTGGGGTACATTTGGGGGGAGGGGGCGGGGCAGGCTAAGCTGTCCAACAGGGGGCTTGAGCTTGTATGCCTGAGGAGGGGGAGGGTTTAGGAGATAACATTTTTCTAAAAATAGGGAGTTTTGGATGGCCGTAAATGGCACTTAGCAGTGTGAAAGACAGTTTGGCTTGGTGTAGGCCTATATTTAATTTTTTTTTTTTGGTCCGACTGCCTGACGAGCTCGGCCGGGGGGGCCTTGACTTGTCCGATGGGGGGCTTAAAGCCCCATTGTACCCTGGCACCGCCACTGCTAGACAGACTGCTGCTTGTGAAGCACTAGGACTATGCCTTGCCTAGGCCTCAGACTACTGAAGAGGTCTTCTGGTCCGACCTAGCGCAGGCTTAGAGGTGCCTAGACCAACACGATCGTCCATACTTTGGGCCTAATCGTCTGGAAATGGATTTGATGTCTCTTGAGCCCCCGATCGTCTGTTACCCGGCCGTAGCAGCAGCACAAACCTATGCACAAACTAAGCCTCAGCCAGCCTCGCTAACTGTTGGTCACATGTTGCGTGTGCAATGTTTTTAGGTAGACGGTATAATTTATACATGACGTGTCACCATACAAGCTAAGCCCCCACGGCTGAACCCTTTGTGTTTAGCAACTACCAAAAATGATGCGGAAATTGGTCCAGACGTACGTGGCGCCCTTCTCTTTTTATAATGCAAGTTTTCTATATTTGATCCAGTCGTAGGCGCCTTTCTGTTGCTAAGCATATCCAGATCAGGGCTCGAAATTCACGCTAGCAAACTAGCAATTTGCTAGTAGGTTTGTCATAATTGCTAGGTAAAAATTCACAAACCAGCAAATTAAAAAAAATGATTGCTAGTTGAAATATCTATACAATATATCTTGTAATTAGCCTAGTATTAACTAAATCTAGACTAAACTGATCTAAAAAAACTAATACAAATTTTATTAAATTTATTTATTTATTTTTTAATTATGAAAATCGACTAAAAATGCCTATAATCGACGAAAAACGATCGTTTTTTTCATCTTGAGCACAAGATGTGAAGTGCGCCACCAACATTAATTTGTTTAAACCTTGCATTGCTTGCATGCATGCAACAAGTTAGCAGTGTGCAGAAAAAAAATCGCTCACATGTGTTTGTTGACGGAAGTCACAGGCGATGCAATCGGTAGTTAAGGCGAACATATTGTAATTTGGTTCTTTTTAGATAATAAACAATGTTTCAGATATGATAATAATTTACTATGAAGCTTAGACAAATAATAGGTTACAACCTAGGCTTCAATTGGCAGATGTTTTAGGCCTAGCCTACTAGACCCTAGCCTAGCTAGTCTGGCTAGGCCTAGTACTGTAGCAGTAGACCTCCTAACCTAGGCCTAGGTCTACTACTGCACCAACGGCCGCCTACAAAACGTCTAGCCCCAGCTTTAAAAGACCAAGGCTTATCAAAATAAATATTGTACAAACAAATCTGTTGCGTAAAATTAAGTTTCTGTTATGGCCTTTTTCTGTCAAAGATTTGGCTTGCTACCAATGCAGTTTTTGAAATCTCTAGGCCTAGCCCCTAGCTAAGCCTGCCTAGGCTAGCTAGGCCAATGCTAGTCTGGCAAAAAAAAAAACTCCCTCCCCCCTCCCGTCCCTGAATATTTCTGAGGGTGTGACACTAAACAAGTATATTTTTTTTAATTTTCAAAATAATATGATATAAAATTAATATAAAATAAATTTTATTTATAATTATATTATTTTGAAAAATTCCAATAAGCTGTACATATTTAATATGAAAACAAAATCACGATACAAAATAAAAATTAAATGAATGATAAACTTAAGTATAATATTAAATTTTTATTTTGTATCATGATTTTTTTTTTCATATTAAAAATTCATATTAAAAATTTTTTGACACTGAAGTGAATAAATGTACAAGGTATAG